AAACAGTGACATGTTTCTTATGTCACAACTTTATTAAAAAAATAATCTGAAACTGCTCAAAACAGCACTAAAAAAGGCGTTTAAAACATTGTCATCAACCTTGTGCCTCACACCATCAGAAGACAGAAAGGTATAAAAATAATCAGCACCAGTTATTTGCAGCATTCCTAAATACCATGGAGGAAATAACAGCATCAGCTTAATCACCAGTCAAACCTCTCCTCTTTGGACAAAATCATTTGGTAGGTAATGGCATCAGCCTCGCTGATGGCGTGGGCTGGTATTAGTCAATGTGCGATCTTGGCTCACGTTTTAGCAACTCGGATCACCTATCGCAGCAATGGAAATAGATGAAGCTCTAGGCTGTTCTCCAAAGAAGGTTCTATGTGAAGCAAGAGTTGCATCACCCAAATGATACAAAGGTGCTATCAAATCTGAAGTTCTACGTAAGTGCTAATAAATATGAAGTGGTGGGAACTTAGAGCTTTTGAAAAACAGCTATGGCCACGTACCCAGTGTCAACGTATCCTGCATACAAAGAGCTTTTTACCACAAGTGAAAACCAGACACACACGCACTCAGAACACCACCATCTTAAAGCTCAATACTGACAGTGCTTTTTTTTCCCCCCAAGGTGAAGCTCCAAGAATTTTCCATCCATTAATCAATATAAATTATGTCTTTCTAGGCATTTGTTAGCGTATCTCCCATATACATAACATGAAAAAATGCAAACAAAAATGTACAAAACTAATTACGAATTAGTTTTTCAAAACTTATATGACCACAGTGGTATCAGCCCATTCCTACAGGTGATGAACTCTTGCTTAAAAAGCGTACATTGCTAAGTTACTCAGAATCACACAAAAAAGTCTATGGCAAGAACAGCAATAAAACCCCAAAAATGCTGACGGGTGTAGCCTTGACATTATCCCTGGATGCTGAAAAAACACGGTGATCAAAATGAAATTTAGATAATGACAAGAGTATCAGATGTTCAAGTTCAGAAGAAAATAAAAAGCAACCCCATTTGCAATTTCTATCAGGGCTGCTAAACATTTATATATTGTTCCAACTTTTCTTGTTATGTCACTGTTACGAATCCTGCACTCGCTGAAATTCATAACATTCTGCTCACTTACAGCAATTTGACAGAAAAACAAATGAGAACAGAAAAGTGAAGCTTTCCCATGCTGTCGAGTGCAACAATTATGAAATGAAATCCCGAATCCTAACTTTGATTCCCTGGTCTACCAACAGACAACATTCACTAGAAAACACTTACTTATATGATAATTATTATTTTTTCTAGCATTTTGCTTACATGAAAGTTAACTTGCTGGTTCTGAATTCAGAAAACAAACAGTGAATGACAATCGTAAAAGCAAAATATTACTGAAACACTATTGACTTTCAAAGAGTATGAGGAAAAATTAATTGGCAGATGTTTTACATAGCATAATTAACAGTTCATTTCAATGCTCTGTAACAAGATTAAGATAATTATGCTTAGAAACAGAAACGTAATAATGATAAATTACTAGTTTTCATATTACGGTCAATCTCCTACATTCCAAATAATCACCATGTTTAGAAATAGGTGCATCTGTTCCATGCTGTCATCAGATATTCAAATGGCACAAACTCATGGCTGGGTGAAACAATCTTTCAACCAAGATACAGGAGATTTCCTTGCTTCAGGAGTGAACAGAGTGCCTGTTCCATTCATCAGGAAAACAGAAGGTGAAAACAGTATTGCTCTTTTCCCCAGGGCACAGTTACTGCATAGAACCTGAAGTAGTTACTGGATAGAACCTGAAGTTGCATGAGCAATTTGTATTTCTTATGGATAACTGGAGAGCAAAGCTTAAATTCTGTGAGCTTAGCAAGTTACAAAAACTCCTCATATGAAAGTTCAAGAATGAGAATACAAAAATCTGTATTCTCTGGTGGTGTGCAAAATATGAAGTCATATACCTTCCTATATGGGTAGTAAGAAACAACTCTCTCAAGGATTTCAGGCCACAAATAAATTAAAAACAAACTGATTTTCAAGGTTTTCTTTTATAACATCTAGGAAGACTAACTACTGCATGCAAGTGCCACAATTTTAATATAAACCATTTCAAAGTAACTGTTACATTCGTGTAACCTCTGAATGATAACAATGTGTTAATAAATTAGGCTTCATATTTTGGGGTCTACATGTACATTTTATTTCAGCCTTCCATTTTCAACGGCTTTTTCCTTTTATAATTTCAAAGGTGCATTTTTCTTCTATTTCCCCACAAAGACATAACACCACCAAAAAAAAAAAAAATCCCACAACCATTTTGCCTTTAAATTAAAACCCAACTTGTATTTCACCTCTTTCTCATTTCTATAGCCTCACTGCTTTCATCATGCCTTTTTTTTTGTTGTTTTCTTTTGCCTTGCTTTCTACTATCAAGTCCTTGACACTTGGAGACTAAAACCGCACAACTAACAGCACAAAGATCAGAGCAGGCACAGAAATAGAAATTGCAAGATTAGAAATCTCAAAGACCTGAAAAGTAGACAGAGGAAGAATAAATAGGGATCGAAGCAGAACCACGAGAATAGAGGGAAGCAATGAAAACTACTTTCAAAAATAATAATAATAAAGTGTGTGACTGTATTATTAATGTGCAGCTGAGGAAAATTAGTTCTGTAGAACTGGAGTACCACACTTCTCCAAAGCAAAACAGAATGGAAGAAGGGAGGTAAGTGCAAAAGCATTGTGCATTATAAATACCCACTGACACCCTTCACGTTTACCCATTTTTTATTCCCATCCAGCAGTAGGCAAACATAAAGAGACCTATTGTTCCTGCTATTGATCAGTGTCGCTCTGAGCCTTCAAAAAAAAAATCCCACCCCATAATGAATGAAAACCCCAAGACATTATGCAAAAAAATTTTTTGCATTGGCCAGTTTTCTAGCTTCATTCCCTCCCCAACCATGTCTCCATGTTTCCCAATTCACTTTCTTATTTCCAAGGGTTGAAGATTTTTGCTGGGTTTTTTGGTTGTTTTTTTTTTTTTTTTAAGAAATCCCTAGCTACTCATATGCTACCTGTCCCTCGTGCATTATCCCCAAGTTATCAAGCAACTTTTAGCTCATATCTCCACAGAACACGAGAGAAACTTATTTTCTTTTGGTCCTTCCTTAGATGCAGTTAGGGTGTTGGTCCCAAAAATGGTAGGGATAGTATTTCACCATGGAATTTACTAAAAAAAACCAAAATTAATTTTGCAACAGATGAGCAACTGATTTACATAAACACCTGATGGGCAATCTGCCTAAACTTAATGAGGTTTTGGGGCAGAATTTCAACTCCTAAAACCGGGACAATCTATAAGGCTGCATCCACAAATTAATTTCAGTTGTATTCAATTACAGGCAGAAATGCTGTCCTGCACTTTGGGCTTTGATCTCTTACCATGTACTGTTGATGTGTAAGGAAAGTATGAAAATAAAACACACACACACACAAACATGATGTACTAAAAAGACATGCGAGGCATGTCTGAAACAATGATACACCCACCATTCTGAGCAGCCCTTAGCAGATGACTTTTAGAGTATAAGGACATCAAAAGCCAGAGGGATAAAAGTGAGTATTGCAAAACACCCATTTTAGAAGATATATTGCATTGGCCTGAAACATTAATAATATCCACCAATGTACCCTTGACTGTGTCACTGAGATGTCTGAGATGTCTTACATCTCTTACCTAGTGTTTCCCTTTATCCCAGACACAATCTCACCACTGCTAGTAAAGTATTCCAAATCACCTAGACAAGCCTTTTCCGTTTTCAGAAGCCTAACTAATTTCAAATTGTTCAGCCTGGAGAAGAGAAGGCTCCAGGGAGACCTTATAACAGCTTTCCAGTACCTGAAAGGGGCTACAAGGAAGCTGGGAGGAGGTGTGGGGTGAGGTAGTGTGTGTGCTTTTTACAAGGGCCTGTAGTGACAGGACAAGGGGTAACGGGTTTAAATTGAAATCAGGGAGGTTTAGATTAGATATCAGGAAGAAATTCTTCCCAGAGAGGGTGGTGAGGCACTGGAACAGGTTGCCCAGAGAAGCTGTGGATGCCCCATCCCTGGAAGTGTTCAAGGCCAGGCTGGATGAGGCTTTGAGCAACCTGGTCTAGTGGAAGGTGTCCCTGCCCATGGCAGGGGGGGTGGAACTAGATGATCTTTAAGGTCCCTTCCAACCCAAACCATTCTATGATTCTGTGAAATCTCAGCACAAATCCTCTTAATTTCTTCATAATCTATTATTTAATTTTTAAATAGGTACCTAATTGAATGGAGCTTATACTTCATAAAATAAACCTTTTATTTTAGAAAAACTTGTATTTTAAGATACTCTATTTATAGAAAAACTTAGAAATACTGTTTATTATTATAGTGTGTATTAAGACTGATCCTCTTCCACTGACTAGAACAAGGTATATAAACTATATACAATCTCAATATATAGCTTCACTGACACATCAAATACAAACCTGTTACAGCCTTCAAAGGGTTACACTTGATACTATATCCCTATAGTTTCTTAAAAATAACTATCAAACAGTGGCTTGCTCTGAGGATACAACTGAGACTTAAATCTAAACTGCCTAATTTCTGTGTTTGCATCTCAGGTTTCCATCATATAATCATGGTTTAAACAATTAGTTTCAACAAGTAACCCAAGCTAACAGCCTGCTCTTATCATTCCAACTTTAGGCCTCTGGCTGCATAAAAGACGTAATTTCAAATAGCACTTGAACATACAGAACTACTGAATTATATATAATATTCAAACAGTATTTGAAATTACATTAAAAAACATATTTATAATGTAAAGCTAGAGAGAGCCATCTACAGTATATAAGGTGAAAGGAGGATCTGTGAAACTTTGATGGAGAAGTGCCATATCAATTTAAAAACATTTGGGAGTCTTCCAGTATGGAAAAGACAAAGCTCTTACCGTTTCCTTTGGAATTTGTGACTGGCTTTGTTCTGCATTCTAAAGGAAGTAAAAAAAATAAATAAGAACACGACTACATAAGACATATACTATCTATCAGCAGGGGGATAAACAAAGAACTCTAATTGTGACGTGAAGTGACAATGGAAAAATGAAGGGTGCTCATCACACCCCTGATTCAAATTCGTCTAAACCAGCACTAAATGAGAGGTGAACTAAAATAAGCTCCAGAAATCTTAGGCCACTACACCTGACTTTGGCTATGTGGGAGGTGCCTGTCTGGTCAAGGCAGAATCACAGCTCTTGCACTGTTTTCTGGCTGGCAGAACATTCTTACGTGGGGATGTTCTGGCCTTTCCCTTCTGCTCTGAAGTTTTCAAACAACCACCTTGGCAGTCCAGATGAACGCTTCCAAATATTTTAAATAAGTACCTATTTTTCACAACATCCATTCTCAACAAGGGATTCCTCTGTTGAGTGTACGTGGATGAACCCAAACTACAGGACTGGGCATCCCAGGGCAGGAGAGTGCTTTCAGTCCACCACAGAAGGGACCGTCCTGTACCTTGCATTCCTCACCTGTGTCTCAAGGCAAACACACACCATTGGAAAACCTTCCTGCATTCCCTAACCAATTCTGGAAACACATGGAAGGAGCTATAACTCTTCCATGCCTATGCCCACCCATATGTACTGCAGCTTCTCTGAGGACGCCAGAGCCACCTTACTGCTGGCTGGCTGATCACTTTTGCGCTAACCAGCTATTTCTTTCCATTCACTTTGACCAAAACGAAATGCTAGGGTTTACAAGACATCTTTGCTTTGGCCTGTTTTGTAGGATATTCAAATATTAAGCACAAAACTGTAGTGGCAAAGTAGTAACACAAACATCCAGTTAGCTTTAACCTGCAGCAAACAACAAATCAGAAAAAAATTATGAAGGAGCCTACTACCATGAACATGTAAAGGACCTAAATGTACCAATGGGCATATTAACTTGTAGGGTACAGGAGACTAACTCTGCCAACCAGTCTCTGCTGATAGGCAGAATTTAGCTCAACAGCTAATTAACCCAAGTGAACACTTCAGTGGAGTCACACAGGCAGTAGCAGGGTCTAATAACCAAACATAACTTGCTGTGAAGGATTTTATGTGAGGTAACCACCATCTAACACGAGTAATCCTGACCCCTTTCATAAAAATAGGAGGAAGGGAAGATTTTTAAGGGACAGTCCACCTCTCACACTGATGTGGGCAAGCCCTAATCCCATCCAATACCTATCCGGCGTTAGGTAACTCTGGAAGCAATAAAATGCCTGGCATTCTGGAGAAGCATAATCGTTCTTCCAGATCTCAGTGGTTAGAAAAGTTAACTCCTGCCAATTTGATTTTATTTCCTGCTTCCACATTTTACTCACATTAACCATGATGGCTCTCCATCACCCATATACCCCCTAACCTGACCACACAGGCTACAGAGATCCCATACTGCTGTAAACAGGCTCAGCTTAATATTCCTGTAAATTTTACACACAACTGCACATTTTTGTAGGTCCCTTCCAGACAGTTAACAGCAACAGGCATCAAAGACATTAAACTCCACAACTCTCCTGAAACTTTATTATCTTCATATTACTTACAAAAAAACCCAAGGATAAGTAACTTTTGAAAAGTTATTCAACAAACCATAACCCAAACCATATAATCTAAACACCTCTTTTACTGGGATCATTATCTGTGCACATGTTGGCAAATATAAAATGGTTTGAATACAGAGTACTCCTCAGAAGCAACAGCAAGTCCTGCCCTTTATGAGATGGAGAGTATCAAATCACATGATTTTATGCATATGGTTTCTGAGACACATATCATTCAGTTAGTATTTAAAGCATACAAACGTAGAAAGTATGACAGAAATAGGGGAAGGATGCAAAGACAAATTGTTCCTAAATGGCCAAAGAAGGTTTGCATGTGAAAAAGATGAACTGGCATGATTTCAGATCATTCCCCTCCCTCTTTCAATATTAAATTTGCCTTTTTTTTTTCCTTCAGTACACAAAGCTAGTAAAAGCCAATAGGAGGAACTGGTTGAAAAGACTTTTTTTTTCTTTTAGGATTATTTCTTACCAAAGAAAGAACAGCCTTTATGATGGCTTTTAGTTCAACACCTTCCCCAGCAATTCTGCTCCTGCTGACAGCTGTCAGCAGAGCACACCAAACAGTTCTTCATGTCAAAATGCAAACAAATCCTTAAGCAACAGAGGATCATCACACATAGGTACTCTCAGATCCTCACAATATCATTTGTTCAACTGGAGCTACAGAAACGTACACCAGGTCAGATGTCATCTCTGGCTACATAGCACAGAGCCCACCTACCACCTGACACAGCCACGAGGAGATCTGGCGTCCCTGCGCTGGTGTTTGCCAGAACAGCTGCAAGAGTCTCGCCAGAGCACCAGCAGGGAGGCTACTGAGGTGCAACGCATTTAAAGGGTCTGATTTGCTGTTATTTTTAAAACTACCTCAAGTATTAAATCTCTGCATTACTCACCATATCTTTGTTTACAGATATTTCAAGAAAATACCTTGTTAACTTACGCATTATAAACTTCCTCAGTTTACGACAGAAATAATATACACAAAATCAAGACATTTTCTTACTTCTAAGTTTATTTAGAAAACTTAAATGGCGTTTTCATTCACCCTGATGTAAGATAGCAACACTGTGAAAATTACATCATAGGAAATTATCAACAGATTGTTTTCACAGTTCCAGTAATAATGTTCGCTTGCAACCTTCCCTGCCGCTTTGAGTTACTAGATTTGACTGTAGTTTTGAAAAGTAACAGGCCAAACAAAACTAATTCAAAATAACACAAATCCAATAGAAAAATTAAGCTATCAACTCATCATACTTACATTTTCACTTATATTTGTCTATCTTCTCATGACAATGCAGCCAAATAAGTTATTTATAGCTATATATAACTATAATACAAATAATAAATAACTTGAGCAGTTTAATTGAATACAGAACAAAGTAAGACTGCTACATTCACAGTCTACCTTTTCATACCAGAAATTATCTTGAATAATTATCAGAGAAATATCTGTACACACTATGTAAGTAAAACAGGTACAGTATGAAGCATCATTTTGTTTCCAGTTCATGTAAATTCCTCAGAAACATTTTCCGAATTACCCTGCTAAATTAATAACTGCAGGGGTTTCCATTCCACAGAGATTGCATTTATATTCATAAATGGCTGCTATTTCTTATATATTCCACTTTTTGATAGAAAGGTATTTACATATTCTGTTTTGGCATAGTATTATATGCTCTGAAATATTTTAGTGAGCAGGTAGTACGACAAATGGCAGGCTTTCAAACACAGATTTGTCCAAATGAAAGAGATGAAATAATCTACATGTCTGCATGCGTCCAAATAAAGCCCATCCAATAGCCACTTCTATAATAAACATTTTCACTCAAATTAAACTCTCACTTATACATTATTGAAACAAATATTTAATTCCAATAGCAGATCTCAAAGAGAATAAAAAGCATTCATATAAAACGTTCTAAAAAAATGCAAAATAGCTGGTGGGGTTTTTTTTATATATTCAGTGCTGGCCATGCATGTTTACTAGCAGGTGACAAGATCAAATAATTTGCTCATACTCATCTAAATCTCTTAGCTGCTCCCTATTTTACGCACCAGTTCCCTTGGATGGAATGTTTCTTCCTGTCGAAAAATCAGAAGGCCAACGGTCCCTCCCATCTTGGTGCTTCGCAGCAAGGACACAACTTCTTCTTGAGTTTTGCCTGTTAAATCAACTCCATTTACCTGTGACAAAGGAAATAACAGAAATTGCTAAGACTCCAAGACAGGAAAAACAGTAGAAATCCATACTGAAAAGTCATGTGAATTATATGGGACAGTATGAAAAAAACCCTCACTGAAGCAATCTGCTTATTGCCTCAGTATAGCTTCCATTTACTAGAACTAATTAAACATGAGTTCTTTACATACAATACAAATAAGAAGCAAGGCAGCAGTATTTCCCTCCTCTTTAGCAGCAACTGCATACTCCAGTATACTCTAAAGCCAACTAATTCCATCTACCAATATTTTTTACCAGAATTTCTACATAAAAATCATTTGTCAAATCATCAACCCTAATGGCTATGCGATCGAAAAATGGTTCTGCTTCCACATGTCCTGGTGTTACACATATCCTCCAAATATATCTTGAACAATAAACTGGGTCAAAAGTAGAAAATAATTTTTTCACCAAAATAACTTTGGAGCAGTTACTCTTTATTTTGCTTTTGCTCAGTGGTCCAACAACCCCTTGGCCTCCACATACCACTTACCAGTACAGACAGATATGGATTACATACAGATAAATTTCCCACTCTATAAGCTAACCTGAGTAAGGGAGAAGCCAGAAGAAGACAAGGCTTGTCTCTCTAGAAACATCTTGGAAATGTAAGACAAATCAGCTATTAGTTTTAAGCAAATGAGCATGATGCTCTGTAATCAGCAAACTATCTTCTTCCTTTCCCTCATAAGAGATCACAGCTCACACAGCTGAGAATGCCATAGTTGTCATCTTAAATGCTTCTCAGCCCCCTTCTACCCAAGTCACCTGGTCACCTTGACTCACGTTCAGCAATGACCATAATTACAGAGGGCCATCCTCCAGCAACAATTCAGCCTGACTTTGCCTACTCTGCAGTAAAGTGAAGTTAGGGCACCGAGAGACAGTTAGTCTCAGCTGTACCTCCAGTGTCGTTTGGCTTAGGGACAGTAATGAAGAGCCATGGGTGGTAACGTATCATTCCAGCTACATTTGCAGGTCTCTGCTGTGCGCCTAAGAGAAATTTAATTCCCTCGAAGACATCCTCCCTTCAGGAGGAAAGTGGCCTTGACTTTCTATAGCACCACCCTCCTCTTACATTGTCCCTTTTGGTTAATTCATTAAACATTTTCAGGCTTTTATTTTCCATGCTTGGCAATATCTCCAATAATTTCTAGTGTGCAACTCCACACTGATTTAATGCCACTTGTTAGGTAACAATTACCTTGCTTCAATTAATTCCTAAACAGCAAGTCAAGATTATGGCACTATATTCACGTAAGGACATGTAAACTCCTATTTCCATAGTACGTTTGGGTCTATCTCTTAAAACAGTTATGTGCTGAAAATGCACAGCCCTTAATCTGCTAAAAAAAAAAAAAGAGACAGGTATTTTCCTATAAGAAACTACCAAGAGCTTTTGGAAGTGAACCAGTGCATGCGCTCATGCCAAAACACAGGCAAACAACACGTATCACTTCATCACCTCAATTAATCGGTCTCCAGCTTTTAGCCTCCCATCTTGAATAGCTGCACCTCTTGGAAGGATGTTTTTCACATAAATTGGAGCAGAGCCACCAATTGGGACATCTCTTGAAGTAATGCTAAATCCCAAGCCTTCTGTACCTGCATAAAGAGCGCAAAACATCACTTGATAAAATGCACGCTTTATATATTATTTATTATTTTTTCCAGCAGAATGTATGTGCACCTCATTGATATAATCCATGAAAACACATATATAAGATACAAGAACTACTGCATTGCAAGAAAAAAAAAAAAAAGGGCCTTTATAGGAACGCTGCAGCTGACGCACTGAGTCTTGGCACAGGTGGCTCAGCAGGCCCTCCCTGCAACTTGCTGTTCTGACGACTTCCAAGTCGCTGCCATATTTCCAACTTTCTATTTCAGATGAGCTGAGTGACAAGGAATCAGAACAAAGCATATCTGATATCCTAACACTGTCTTCCCCCTTGTCAATCTGGATCTCATCAATGATCCTTCCTTCCTCTTCTGCGCCTCTTTCAGCACCGTCAGTTAGCCGACGCGGCTGGCCACGGGGCGTTGTCAGCACACTTACGGACATGGCAAGTGACAGCCAGAACCAGAGCTCAGTGGTCTCATTTCTTCTGCTCCAAGGGACCCTGGGCTGTTTTCTGTTAACAGCTCCTCCGCCTGGGGCTTCACCCTGGCTCTTGCTGGGTTCCACCCCACCTTCTGCCGTGCAGACAGGGCACAGAGCGAGGCCGGCACTTCTGAGGTCCTGCTGTGCATCCAGGTGACTGACTACGCTTGGCTAAGACAGACTGATGCAAAACAGACATTTTAGATGACCTGGAGAAATCCAGAGAGGGAGTCCGGTCCATATGGCAAATGCAGCTTGCTCATGTTTCAGAGAAATGATGCCCACAATTGGTTACTGATGTCTACCTTGGGGCCCCACCAGCTCTGGGATTCACAAGCTGATAGGACAAACAGAAGCCCTTCCTACTCTGCAGAAAGCTCATCTGCGATCCTCTCTTAGATACAGTCTGTCCAGTGTTACCAACAACCTTTGAAAGCCTACGCTGAAACACCCACACTCCCCCTGCCCAACGTGCACAGCAAGTCTGTTCAGGACACAACCCCGCACGGAACACAGCCATGCCGCAAACGAATCCCTGACAGTGTCAGCAGCCACAACGGCCATTTAACACGATGCCTCTACAGTTCGAGTTACCAGCTAGGCATACGCGTGCCCAACCTACATTTCACCTTGCCTACTAGGGCAACCTGTGACTTGGCAGCAGCAGGTACGGTCCCTAGAAGTTGCACAACATACCCCCTTGCATAAAATCACGGGGACAGACAGAAGCTGAACTTTTCAGCAACAGTCCTCAGCTCTGAGCCCTGGGAAGCTGAACACAGCCGGTGTGAAAGACACACTAGTATATGACCATTTGAGATTAAAGCCAGAATTGATTTCCCCGTATTCATTTGCTAAGTCTGCTCTTCTACCCAGGTTGATATTCACAGATGTGAAAAGGAAGCAGGAGTCCAATACAGCCAAGATAGTCTACATGCAGATTTCTGAAACCTGCACAATTACATTTGATTACAACTTCATATAATGTATTCTATTATCAGGATGGTAATCATGTTAACAAGTAAGTGACACAGATGACAGGGCTGGGAGGGTTATAACCTTTCCAAGTCTTCATCTCGACAGAACCTAAGTCCTCAAGTATCCACAGCAAGTGCATGCAGCTGGCACAGCTCTGGAAATTTGGATCGTTTCTCTAGGCTAGCTACCCTGAGACAGGCTTCTTCCTTATGTCTGCAGCATTCAAGACAGCTGAAGAAGTGACATTTGAATTTCAAAGTCTTCATCCACTTTCAGGCTGATATAAAATTTATCAGTGCTATTACACAGAGATGAAAAAATATTAGATCTTCTAACATCCATATTTTACTTTGGAAACCTCACAATTTTAATGATGCTTCAAACATTCATAGAGCTCTTTAACTCCTTGCAACATGTGAAGATGATCTGTATAGGTGTAATGTTTTTTTAAGATATATCTCAGCTTTTTATGGAATTTATCTTCTTTCTTATTTTAAGGATCTGTGTTGAATACTGCTCTTTGAGTACAGGTTTTGTCTGCTAAAATGTCTAAAGTAATATCAGAACATGACTGCATGCCCAGGACAACATTTCATTATTAATAAGCTTAATCCCCACAGCCTGATTACGGCGTCATTACAGATGTCTGGTTCACACACTCCACTTCAAACCCCCACGGAAAAAACAGAAGTTGAAATGTTCACATTACAAATGCACACAGGATATACATTTGGACTGTGGCATTTTCTGCTGTCAGATCTCCAGAAAGCCTTTACCAAAGCCGGCAGAATGCCACAAATCCACACTGAGCCCAGATATTAGCAGAAGAAAATCCTAATTACTTGTTTCTGTGGAAAAAAGGGGCCTCAACGGGGCTACACGTTCCTGCTCTGTACAGCTTCGCATAAGGCAGCTTTTGGGTGTCATTTTCCTCATACTTTTTCACTGCTTCATTTTACTAGTTGTGCACTAGAGCTGCCCTTCGCTGTATCATACAGCTTCATAAACTCCCAGGCGTATTGTATATAAAATAGAAGTTCACAAGATTGAGAAATAAATCGATACAGTCAACCAAGACCAAAAATAAATATGATTTCTGTGACTGGATTGATTTGAAGCTTCTTTCTTTCTTTTTATGCACATAACTGATTATCTCCATGCACTTCAGTTGTCCTGTTGATAGAAATGCATAGAACATCTTCATATCTTCCTGCTGCTAAAATTTTGTCAGTTCTTAAAGTGTAAAACTGCATTACAATAATGAGGGAACTGTGCAAACATACTGTAGGCTCCTCCGATATCTCTGATTTATACTAATAATATGGGAATAACTGGACACACATACAGGCAGGACCCAAAGAAGAGAAGCAGACAGAAGGAATTTCCATAATTTTGAAAACACAGGAGTCATCCTACTCAAAGCTAGGAGCTTTATATTGGAATGCCTCAATTATTTGTGCTATGTTAATAAACTCCTAGAGATTTTATAAAGAAAGGGTAGAAAACATGTTCCTCCTCTACAGCTGTCATAAATGACCAAAATACACTGAGTAATTAATAACATTTAAAAAATTACCCACTAATCTGTGTAAATCAAATTCTTAGGCTTCTTTGATAAATCAGCAGCTCTCTCAAGTTAGAGCTCCCCCTTTTCTCTTGAATATGATGCTGAACATGTCTTCTAAGGTCACATTACCCTCAAGAGCTCAGCCAGCTCTAAGCTAAAGACAAAGTAGTTTTAAGTTACTAAAAAGGGTAGTTACAATAGTAAAAGAACTATTTTGTACAAACAGGAAAGAGGCAGATTTGATGCTTCAGTTGCTGTTTTGGAGGAAACTGGCGCAAATTAAGGGGGGGACATGACATACGGATGTGACACGACACACTCTTTGACAGAAGTTAATTAAATACATATTCAAAATTAACATCACCATATCACTTGGAATCAGCCTGAATATAAACTGATGGGATGCTAAAAAAATTATTGTCTTACTAGAGGTGGCTAGGTTTTCTGTTACTTCCCAGTGAAGTGTTTCATTTCTCACTAATGTTAAAATTACCTTCTTGATTGCAAAAAGAGTGTGTTTGGCATAACACTTCTGCCTTTTTAAGGCTCTTGTGCATGAAAAATGGCATGCTCCTCATCCAGCACCAACTGCAGGTCTAAATTCTCACCAACAAAATGTGCTGCTGCACAGAAACACTGCCAGAACATGAGACAAAAAGCAAGCATCACCTCTGCACTGCTTCCAGTACTTTCGTGTCACTCTCAAAAGGAAACTAGAGCAGAGACCCAACAAGGAACATCCGAAGGACCTACATGGTCAACTTCTTATGATACTTCTCTTACAGCTACCTTCCTTTTTAGGACTGCAAGCAGAGCTAGAAGTAAATCATGCTATTCTTTCTCCTCTAAATTAAGAAAATGGAGATGAGTTTTCAGGTACTTCAGTACAGAGCTCCCTAAATTTAAATAAATAAATAAAAAGATAAAATCTCATTTCTAAAACAATGGAAAACGTTTGATAACCAGGCAATTTGGCACCACATTTGTTAGTGCTTATGCAAGAGAAGCAGAACACTTCAGAACAACCTAAATATGGAAAATCCATGTGGGTGAACAGTCCTCAGATGGAATAAAGGATTGTTAAGGGAAAGTGCAGATTCTTCACAAAAGACAAAAAACACTCTCCTAAAACAAGAAAGGAGGCTGGTTATACGTATAAACAGTTTGTGACACAAAGTCACAGAAATCACAAAATAGAGCATCCTCACTTAATGGAAATATTAGATTATAATATGATCCAGAGTAAGGAGAGAGATGACATTACAATAAAACTACACAGAAGAGCCAAACGCTCTCTGACAATAATCATAGCAGACACTCTCCTTCCACGGATTTCAAGTTCTGCCTCTTCACAGTAGATTGTTCTTGAGATCCACGTACGGGTGTGTGATTGCTGAAATAATTATCCTACTGTTTTATGCCAGAAAGCAGTTTTCATTGAGGATCAGACCTCACGCAAGAGCTAAACAGCAAATACGTTCTCCTTATTGTCAGAGGCTTCACTAAACTAACCAAGACCATTTTAGATACTTCCTGAAGTTATTTTACTGCTCCTAGTTTAATCCCTGTGTTTTCAGAATTTGCATATGTGTAGTCAGGGTAACTGCACATGCAAATGACTGCTCAGAAGGCTGACTGCTCAGCTGTCTGTAAAATTTCTGCAGCCACATGCACAATCAAGACAAATTAATCACATGCCCGTTTTTATGTAGTTGACTGATTTGGAACATTTTTTTTTTTTTCTTCTCCAAGCAAAGCTCAGACCTCTCCAGAAGATCTCAGCTCAGCTTAATAGCCTGCTAATAAATAGCGATCACAAGTGTTTTCAAAAAATGGAAAGATGAAACTTTATGCAGTTTATGTTTCTTCAGTGGTTAATATTGCCCAAAATGATCTGCTTCACTTGTGAATCTCATTTCTCACAGTCACTTCAGTAGTTTAGGAACCTACATGCTTCATTTCCAAAGTGGCAAACACCCCTACTATATCTGAACAGGAATTCTAAAATCCGGCTAAGAGAACATATCACTTCAAAAGAAATCTTAAATAAAAATTTAAAATGTCAGTTCAAAGTCTGGCTCAAGAAACTGCGTGGGAAAACAGGAGAGCATGATGAAAAATGCATGTAAATCTGTGTACTTCAGATTCATGATGTAGGATATCTTACAGAGAAGTTCAGCGTCCTGTCTTGTACACTCTGCCATATAAACCAAGTAAAACAAGTTATCATCCACGTCTGTGCTTTACTCCACAGTAAATATGATGACAATTTACATTAGCATACTCCCAAACTAGCCATGGCATCTCATTTGCGTCTCTAACGACTTCCTGCAGAAAGGGACTTGGGCGCTGCAGGGCCGTACGGTAATGCTGAATGCCCAGTCAGCTGGTAGGACCTGCAGTGTTTAAGCTCGGCTCTGTATGTAAGACGGAACATTAATAACCACGGAAGGGCCAGCAAGCCAAACAGGCATCCAACAAAAGACTCTGAAGAGCAACAAGTCTCACAGTACTCTTCACATCTACACTTTAACTATTTTTCTCCGCTGCACTGCATGACAGTGCCTCCTTCCTCTCAGGGCACACCATCCCCTGGGACACAACTGCTACACCCTTTCCATAACAGACCTGGAGATTCCTACAGCTATCCTGCAGTTGTGTCACTTATTTCTTTCTCTTGAAGCTATACCATTCTGAGCCAAAGAGATCATCATAACTCCCATGGCCAGTATATAGGTCACTCTCTGGAACTGGGGAGACGTGAAGTCCTGATTCGCTGAATATTATTCTTAAGGGCAATCAAATAAAGTGAAGACAATTTAAAGACTGAGTACTTCAGGCCTGTCTTAGTACAGTGATGTCAAAACATGGAATCAGAGGAATACAATGTCCAATGGAAACGCAGCCTTTGGAATGCTTTAGTCAGTATCAGACTAAATGCTGTGAGTTATTCAGTGCTCAAAGACTAAGCCTTAGAATCATTTGTTGTATAAATGGTTATTTATTATTTATAAGTGCTGGACTAAATTTCTCTCAATTGCATTAGCTCGAACCTTTGCAGTCAAAGCAAAAAACACTCTGGAACTGTCCTGGTGCATACGAGGTCAAATTTGTCCTAGCACTCTGGGGTTTATTTTCTCTATGTATTAGCTGTAAAAAAATATTTTTATTTATTTATACTTACTGTGTATCAGCTTACACTAAAATATACATAAACACAGTCTCACTGTCATTTCTTGTGCTATCTTAATTTGTGTGAGCTATTAAGCTAGACTGTTATACAGCCTTAATGGTATTAGAATATCAACAATAACCCCTACATCTATATGCTAAAAGTTCAGGCCCTGACCTTTAAGGAAAGATAAACAGATATCCATTTTCATTTAGAAAAGCCAACAAACATTCTGCATTGACTGAAACATATGACTGACCTTCTCTTCTGACTTTATTAAACAGCTAAATCCTATGAAAGTTCAGGTTATTTTAAAATGCCAAAACAGCAATAAATATTAAGAAATCATAATTACAGAAGCACGTACTGCAGGGTTATCTTACCGTGTCATTTTATATAATAAAGCTCATGCAATATATAGAAACACAGCTGTAATAAAGAAGGTCTGTCTGTACGGAAAAAGAGTCAGTTCTCATATACTACATCATTAACCAGAATGCACAGGTTAAATCGAAAGTGAATTTCAAGACGAAGCTTTACATGCTTGTATGCCTTAATGCACCCCACAAGGAGTTTTTAATCTAATGATGGTAATTGGTAAAATAACTGCTGTCTGTTAGCTACAAAGAAAGCACAGTTGTTAAATATCTATAAAGCCTGTATTATTACAGCATCCTTCATCAGAAATAATCAAAGACAATCAACATCCCTACTGCACTGATATTTGTAACAAACTACTTGGGGGCATATTTAAGAGTTTTGCTTCATTTGTTCCTCCACATGTGTGTTCTCAGAGCGATCAAACGAAAGCCAAAATGGGAGGACATGCCTCTTTCTACAGTGGATATTAACAAATGGAGACAGCAATGATAAAATGGTATCCTTCCTCATGCACTTTTTTTTTTTTTAAATATCACCATGCATAAAATGTAGCAGACTAGTTTCTGTCTGTCTATAATCTGAGCTAGGTGCCATTTCTTCCTAAGTTATATTCTCACATAAGCCAAGTGTTTTAGAAATAAGTATCCTCTCAACTTCTGAAATATATTCTAGATATGAATTTCAAAGGTTTTACTAGCATAAGAGCCATCAAATTTATCTGGTGTGAACTAGATGTTCAAGTAACTTATGGATCACTTTCCATCAACAGGTAGCATGCATATCCTTCATCTCCAAAACCAGACTTGCTGGTATTGGTACCAGCAAGGCTAAATTACATTATAGAAGTGGGGAGAATGTTTATGAAACACATCCAGTGCAAGAGGACCAAAACCTAACCTCACAACAGAAAGAATCCATAACACAACAGGATTATATTCTCTGATCTTATGAGAAGCTGGGGTTTTTTGTTTTGTGCAAAAATAGCGTGTGCCCGTATTCTGTATTCATTTGTTGGTGCTTTTACATTATATGAAATGCGTATTTCCACTCCTGGCTAAGAATACTTCTACGTAACGTCCAAGTGATATTCCTACAGGCTTCCGCAGACACAAACAAATAGGTGAAAATCACTGTAGTGACTAAGAGCTTATTTGTACACAGTGATTCCTTACTCAGCCAATAACAGTACGGTTTTCCAAGCAGGCTGATCTGAGCTCATGGCCTAAAGAATTTCTTGAAGGAGCATCGACAACAGAAGCAAACTGTCAACTCAACCTTATGTCATCCAAGTTTGTAGAGCTTAAAATTCAGCAACCAGAAAGAAGCAATCTGGTGGTTCATGTGAAGTTCATAGAAAGGAAAGCATAATGACAATGTGACAAGTAGCCTGGTACCTGTGAAACTGTAAAATCTCTACATTCAACACACAGTCCTCAATATCTTTTGATAAAAGATTAATTAATAAAAATTATTAACATTAAGCACATACAGTATAAGGGGAAGGAGTTCACAGAGAATACTGTCACATGGGTAAACCTTTTGCTGTGTAATGTAAACCCTATTCTTGCTCCTAGAGATCAAATTACACCTAACATTAAACATGCTCATTTTAGTACCATAAAGCTTACAGCATGTATAATCCTTTAAAGAAATAATTTCCCAAGAGCCAAGAAATACGTGCATCTAAACAACAATTTGTTATACTTCAAACTATCTTAAAAGCATCTAAATGGTAACTACGCAAAAATAACATTTTCTCGTTTAGGACATTTAACACATCATAAAAATTCCACGGATGTACCAACACATCTACGTGTGCACACATAATACAGATGCTGAGATAAGCATGTACTGCTTTCTCCTCACCCCCATTCAAATTACATTAGCATAAGGCCCAAGATAGGAAATATCACATTACATCTCAACCATTTAAACATCTTTCACATCCCAGTGGAATAAAAAAGCTGTAGCTGGAATTTAAAAAGTCCAATTTACCAAGTGGATCCAACACACTCCTAAAATCTAACAGCAACCACAGTTAGTCACTTGGAGACACATGGTATCAGTAAAGTCCAGAATATGGGCCATTTTAGCTTATTTACTTAAATGGTTCACCACTCCCTAGGTTTTGGTCACCTAAATTTATAGCACTTACTGCACTTTTTATTAGTTGAGGCAGAAAACAATGTTAAAGCCAACAAAAGAACAACGAAGTTAATTCTTCAAAACTGCCTTTAGCAAACACATTGCACAACGTGAATGCACAGTCGAACTCCTGAGTGTGCTTCTTGGGGGCAATTCAGCCACTTGGCTTCAAATATCAAGCCATCACATCCCCCAGGCCAGTGCAAGCGGTCATGCAATGGCACTGGACACTGTACACACACTATGCACACATACCTCATGCTCTACGAGGAGCGCACCACTGCCTTACCTTTTCTCAGCTGTATACTGAGCCTCTTCCCTATCTTTTTGGTGTTATACCCACTGTTTGCAGTGGAGGTGAGAACTTTCTGAGGTGATGGTACCAGGCCCGAGGGTGGTTTCCCTGATGAATTCACACTATGAGGTAGCTGCGAGTAGGAGTCTGTCTGATCAGACTGGTTACCCGCTCGAGACATTCTTTGTAACGTGTGAAGTCCAGAATTGTTAATACTTTTGCCGTCAGCATACTGGGAATCGGGGCTGAAGCGGCTGGAGTAGTACGTGTTCTTCTCACTTTGGGACAACTGTTCATACTGCTCTTTATTTGCTGCAGGGACCACGTGGAACCAAATGAAGGGCGTACGCATGGCTTGGCGAAACATATGCTGTGCTCTAGGTTGCAAAATGAACAGAAAATTAGCAAATTAGGACTGGCAGACAACAAGACATTATAAGCATAATTACTGATGTTAATTAAGCAACACGAGCTGACAGACATATTGCACTGAAGCATAAACTATAAAACTTGAATCTGTTTGCTAGTCTACTTGGTCAACTTTTTGCTAAGGTTTATTGCCTTAGGGTAACACAATGGTTAAATATGCTTAAGAGCTAACATACCAAATACTGGACTTGGAAATGCAAAAATCTTAATCAATCTTGAAATGCAGACAGTTCTATGGCAGAACTGCAGTGTCTTTTTGTTTTGAACCTTGATAATTGCTTCTTCAGATACAATAATCACGGTGACAACAGAATTATTAGAATGAAATTACACTTCGTACAAAGACCATGTATTTCCATAATTTGCTGATATTATATGCAGTCATACGAAAAAGTCTACTTTTTGTATGTTCACTTTACTTTTTCTAACTTTGTCAGAATACAACACTAAGAAATAGGAAAAAAATGCTCAATCCTGCACAGATGGACATCGGGCTCCAAAGCACACAAAGTCAACAAGTCTCTTCACAGACTTAACAAATTGTGACTCAGAACCTTAGAACAAGCAGAGACAAGCTGCTTTCCACCATATGGTACAGGGTCGTGTTCCAATCCAGGTTAGAGTCAGAGAAATAAAACACAGATTTCAAATGTATATTAAGTATAGGATGATCAGAATAAATGACATTTCTTTGGCCCTCAACATGTTAGAGTTTTCCGAACAATGGTATCGTCTCTGAAATCACTCAATCTCTGCATGTCTTTTCTGATTTCTCCTTCAGTTATCTGGGTGTGAACTACAATCTGATTTCACTTTTAAAAGTCCTTCTAATACACCAGTCTGGGATGCTAACAAGTTCAAGCTTCCACTCAGCAAATATTTATGATCTCTCAAACTTCTGCAGGAAGTTTCTGCAGAGAGAACTTTTAGTTCTCACACATACAAAACCCCAAATATTTTCAAAACATTAAAAATGAAGTCTCTATGCTGTCCCCATACACTGAACATGATGCATTGCAAGTGTAAGAGCAAAAATCATACGGGAACTTCACAATAAACAGGTTACCAACACATGAAGAAAAAAATCCATAATGTGCAAAACCAATCAAATGAGAAATCCATATACCCCAATGAAAATTACCAATCTGAATTTTTTTAGTTTGGCTATTTAAGAACCACTAATGTCCCTTAGTGTATCTATTCTTTATTAGAAAGGCAAGATTAGGCAATTTTTTTCTTAAATACTTCATTTCCTCAAATTACTGCAATGTGCAGTGTTAAAGATTAAATAATGCAATGTAACGTACGCTAAGTATACTTACTGTTCAAATCTCCTATTCCGAAGGTCTCCATCATTAATCCTGACAATACAGTCATTCTCACGAAAAAGATTTTCTTGTTCAGCTTTTCCACCTTTCTCCAATCGCTTTACCAGCAGTCCCAGGGTTCTGGAATATTAAGATTACAAATGGTTACTGTTCTAACAATTTGTAGCATAGAAAACCCTACTGATTCAATCTTTTATCATAATCACTACAGAAACTAAATTTTAAACTATCTTTACTATGAAGCAGGATATCATAGTTTCAAATAAACTATTGCCTGAATGATTATCCCTCACCCATGAAACAAAGACCCTAGGCGAATCAAGCACGCCATTTCTACGTAAGGAACAGGCAGTGTGACAACAGCATGTCCATTCTTTCAAAAAGCCTACATTTCTGAGCAGTAAAAGCTCCAAAAAGCACCATGCATCTGGCAGCCAGCACCTTTTGCGCTAGTTAACTGAAGTGGAACAGGCTCAACTGAAAATCTGAATTTCTGAATTAGGAGACGATACCACAGCCATCACTACTGCTCTGGTGCAAGTGAGGTCACCTCACATAATAAGCAGCCTATAATGAAGAGATTGATAGAGGACTCGGGAACTTCATGCAAACCAAATGCTTTTACTTTTAAACCTTAACTTTTTTTACAAAACACAAAGGGGAAATTGAAAACTTAAATGCAATTTACTGCAAATTAAGTTTTATCCAGCATATTATCTTAAAATTGGTTCAGTAATGACTGAAGACAATCACCATTTGATAGACTCTCTGCAGTGAGTTGATCACTTCTGTCTAGTGCTTACCCACAGTGTCATCTTAAGCACATTCTTAAAGAGAAAAGGTAAACAAATATTCAACCTGAAATTATGAAAGGGATCCTGAAGAGTGGATTTCTGACGTCCTGGTATGATAGTTTGAAAAGTCAATGATGTTTCTATACCTGAACTCTACGTTTGAGGGAGGACTCAATCTTCAGGATTAGTCGGGCATCGACACTGCATATGATTTTTTTTTTTTGTAAAGATCATCTTTACTTTGAAATCCCACAGGACGAATCAGTGGGTCAAATTCACATCATCCATGTCAACAGCATTACTTTTTCAGAAGTCCTTTCAAGGCACGGCGTCGACAATACTTGGTTGCATCGCAGGAATTGCGAGATCACATATGTCTTTCAGCACAAAACTTTCAGTGATCATAGCACTTCAGTTCACACATACCTCAAAGTAAATGAGCAGTCAATGATGCTTAAAAGGACTCCTCATCCGCTCAAAAGTTATATATGCACTTGAGCACTTAACCAAATGGGTCACAAAAGCAAAATTAACTTATTTCATCCACTTGAAATTCTTCATTTACCAATTTATCATAAACATATGCAAATAAGACATTTATTTTACAGAACAGTCATACGTTTTCTCCTACAAGGCAGATGAAGGAGTAAGAGAAAAATCCTAGTAGTATTTCCATTTTGGAATCACCTAGAGACATTAAGATACAATGTTGAAAGGTTCTCTACATGTAAACAGACTGTGAGGAGAAAAACAACATAAAGCATTTTGACAACACAAATCATCAAATTAAGTTTGAGTCAGACATTAACATTTATGTGATACTATTCTGTTTCCAAGTAACAGAGAGTATTTTGTAAACACCTCAGGTACTGGCACCTTTGACCTGTGGGGGGGGTCCCATCAGAGGCCAACCTTCTCCACCCTCCACCTGGGTGCAGTCACTGATGCAAACTGTGATTGGGCTTGACTTTAGTTCCGCTGCTGCAATTAGCAACCTGTCTCTTTGCATAATACTGGTCAGCACAAGGACCAGAAAGATTCCACAAAGCTAAAGTAACACTACTCTAGAATGCAAGAATCTCAAAAAAAAAAAGAATCTTGAAAAGCACACCAGACACTAGTGTGTATCCCTCCCTCCCTGTTCTTCAGGTTTGAGAAGTTCTGCCTTTTGTAGATTCCTTCCAACAACCCACCATCAGTGAAATGCTTCGCTGTTTTCATTCTGATCACTGAGCTAGTGAAACACTGGGATATGATCTGGGAAGTATTATCTAGCTATTTTAGGTGGTTTCCTGTTTACCTTTCTCACAGTCCTCTAACAGTTTGCATGGGGGAAAAAAAAAAAAATCTCACATCCACAACAGTCAAACACTAACTTACATGACCAGGTTGGGCTGCACTTACTGTACTAAAATTTGCTGAGAATTATGAAGGCGTTTGGCACAAGAAATAAATTTACAAAATACTGATTCAATCCCTTTTTCCTTGTGTTCATGAAAATAAGCCTTGAACAGAGTCTCAGATTTTTAAAACACCACAAATAATTACAGAAATAATTTATATATATATCTATCTGTAAAAAGCACTAAAATAACATTTATGACTGTTAATGATAAAATATTTGTATTTGTCTAAGAAAATGAAAAATATTTGTATGCCTTCACTACATTGTTTTTCACAGAATCATAGTTTTGATACATGTAAAACTGATGGTTAAAAAACAAGCTTGTGACTTTTTCAGGTGTAAATGGTTGAATTTCTCTGGGGAGACAATGTCATCACTAAATGAGGAAGAGAGAGGCAAGTGTTCTGTTTACAGGGTTAAATATTAAAAAAAAAATTAAGATACTAAATATCAAAACATATTCCACACAAACCACAATACTATGATATTACAAGTACAATACTATGATAATACTTGGCAATATAAGTTAGTAGTATGATAATACACTGTACAAAATAGAATGATTATTTCATCCCAATGTCTCCACGTACTTATGATTACAAAGTAAGTCATCTATCAATGGTTGTTGCATAGCATTTTTCTGGAAAAACTGCTTCTACTGTTTTGCGTTTTGAAGTAAAATTATTAATGCAAGATGCATCTTTATGCAGAGCTTGTAATTTCTTAAACTGACTTCACCTAAAATCTCAAATCTAGGAAAAGTGTCACTAAACCTGACCAACAGTAAAATAACGTAACACTGAAACAAACTACCAGTCAAAATCGCAAATAATCTCATTAAACAAAGGCTACAAGTTCTACTGATGCAAGATTGCTCATCTCACATACAACATATGGTGCTCATGAGGATTTTGCTTTTTAACAAATGTTAGAGCTAGGTTAACCAAGGCATATAAACCTAAAGTCACTGAGAACAGATTCAAGGCTGGATGAACAGCCTGAGTCAAATCTGAAACCAGGATCCTCACAGTGCCTTTTAATTTATTTAATTTTTTGATACAAACACATGGAGAAAAGATCCCTTTAGACACAGTTTCAGAAACAATTTCCCGAATGTCTGCAGAGAAGAGTAAACGCTCCTAGAACTTGCAGAAAATGCATGTTCCTGAAAATTTTAGGAACAAAAGCCTATCAATTTCCTACAGTATTTCTTCAGCATACTACGATTAGATGAAGGAATTTGACTCTAAAAAAAGACATTATGGGAATTCATGTTTGTTGTTGCAGTAACTGAAGATAAACAGAGCAGACCTGATATTGCAAATATGCAATAACCTAAAAATTAATTGGATTTTTTTTCCCTGCTGTATACCACCACCATTAATCCTGATAAGGGGAGATGTAGTTCTACCACAGTTTCAATGTTAAGTTTCCTGCGTTAGGAAAACATAAATTCTGAAAGTCTGTAAACTAATCTAGTGTAAAACACAAAACTTAGTATATAAATTTGTTTAAACACTGCCATGTAATATACGAATACATGGGTGCATTTGAATTTGCTTAACCTTATCCAGTTAACGTTTTCTAAAATTAATTCTTCCAAAATAAACATTTTAAACTATAGCTTCTTTTAAGAATGAGATTAAATACTGCGTGAACTTCTGCAAAACACTCTGCAAGTCTGCAACCCTGTCGAAACAGTAATTATAAATGGAAATTTAGTACCTGCACTGTTTTAGATTAACGTTAGCTGACATGGGGACAGAAGGGAAACAGTATCAAAGCACAGAGCTCAATCTCCGTATTTGTTTTAAATACCTAATTGGGAATGTAAACATCTTAGATTATATTAGCATTTGCACCACTGTATTTCCACAAGGTTCATTACTCTAATTATACAATTAAAATAAACGCAGCTACATGTGTTAAGATTTCAGTTCTCAGTATAAATTACAATCAATGATAAAACTCGAAATAAGCAGTGAATGTTTTACTGACATCCAAATTGCCTGAGTTAGTCTGGGTAGTTCTTTGAAACTGTGAACTCCCACATGCCATCCAGCTGTATGGAAATGATGATAATTTGTCTTAATACAAACTGACAGTGCAAATACTATGAGAGTAATAAAAATATTACATTGAGCATCTAGAATATGATTTGGCCACCACTGCCCACTGTACATACACACTGAAGTTATTTACCTACTACCTGCAAGCTAACTGTAATATAATCAAATCAGATGGAACAGAAAATTACGTAACCATCTAGAATGGTTGTCACTAACATGAAAAGCCAAAAACTAGATGAAGAGGCAAAAATAAGGATTGATTGAAAAGCAGATGTGTACCAGTTTCGTACAATGAAAGGTCTCTGAAAAGCTCTACGGGAACATAAACATGGTATAAATTTCCTGAGATTCAGAGGTCAGAGTAGACAAATCAGTCTGTCTGTTCAAGTTAAGTTATCGTGGCTGATCAATGCTGAATTGGACATAAACTCCTTTGCACCACATTGACGTCACGGCGCTGCTGCCAAGGCATTAAATTGACTTTATCAGCCTTCACACCTGAAGTCCGGAACCAATTTCCAACCTTTGGTAGCTACTACTCAGCTTTTGAGCCTGAATAATACTCAAAGTAAGTTTATGTAACTTTTAAAAGGATGAGATCAGACAAAGAAAGCCTTGAATTCAACTAAAGTGAGGGAATGGTACTTTCACACCACAGGGAATCTTTTCCCAATGCATATGTTTTTGAAAACCATGGCTACCTTAGAGACTTAAAAGGTTGAAAATGCAGGAGAGAAATAAATGGCGATGCAGATAACACATACCTACAAATGATCAAACAGAAAACGAGTGTTAGAGAGGCACCTTGAAGGCACTATTAAGGACTTCAGTGTAGACAATGGCCATTAGATGTTACTTTAGTTTTCGTTATCTTGAGTAAAAGAATAAAACTTCTACAGTGGAAAAAGGAAATTATTTATAAACTCTAGAAAATTAAGGGCACTTCCACTAAAAGCAACAAAAAAAAAAGCTACAGAACAGAAAAATGTGTCAATAATTCTAGTACAGGGACTGTGTACACATCGATGTCTACCTTCATTTGAGGTTTTTCATTTTTTAAAGAAAATCTCTTAAATTTGTCATTTAAACAGACAAAAAGCAATACAATTCAGTCCCTTATTTTCCCACTCTTCTCAGACTTCCTTAATATTTTCAAGACATTCAAGATATATAAGAAAAACAGAGATTAGGTATGTTTAGTTGCCAGGTTTCAGCTGCACAGTTTATCATGAATTTTGGGGCATGCTTCAATAGGAAGATCAGCTGGCAGAACCCCACATACTCACTGCGCTGCATGAAGGTAACTTGTCTGATACTTATTAATGGATGTTCTTTATAGCATTTTCAGATGAATATCCAAGTACTTTTCAGTTCTGTTTTACTAAGTAGATTACACAGTGGTCTTGGGACTATGTGACTATAACTTCCATATCACTATTCACAGAGATTTATGATGTTATGTCATGTATTTCCCGTGTCAGTTCAGCCTCCTTCCAAAGACAGACATGTCAGGATTTCAGAACAACTACAGTATAGAGCTTGAGAAGACTTCAAAGACTCTTAAAAGTAAAAGAGGCCATATAACAGTAAATTATGCTATAATTACTATTAAGCTTGCAGAGAAGAACCCGATGCAACCCCATTTATGCATCAACATAACATCCCCCATCAGCCAGGATTGCTCAAATGCTATTCTCAAGGGACTGAGTGCTTGCCCTCCTCTATGAGCATCTAGTAAGAATGAAGGATCGGTGTTAAAGGCAATTCTGCACAGATTTAGTTTTCTTTCCTTTTATGCTTTCATTAATTTCCTCTTTGCTATACTCTTTATCTAAACACTTTTATGTTCAATTTCTATTTTGTCCTTCTTTCTGCTTTCAATTTCATGCCTCCTATTCTGCTTAGCACTCCATTTATACCACTGCTAAAATGCGCCAGCAGGTTTTGCAAACAAAACTGTTGTCTTGAAAATCTTCAGAACCTTAGGGTGATGAATATGTATACTCCTCCTCCCTTCTGATAAGGTGAACAAACTATTATCCAAAGCATATGATCAAAAAGGCCAATAAAGAACTGATGAACTTCAAGAAGGAAAAAACGGATAATTAAAAAACATATCCATAGTAGAAAGTTTGACCGTGTCTGTACAAATCAACAGTATTTTTCCCAAAAGATTATTTTTTTCATTAAAAGTCTCTGTTTTACTAGGAACAAAAATAATTAATAGCATCTATATACACGAGCAGAGATCTTTAGAGATTTTGCTCAAGATCGAGTCAATATTGTTGACAGATTCTTACAGCAAACCCAAACCCTCAAAAAGACTGCAAACACATTGAATATTCCCTCAATATAATTAAAGGAGCATATCATTTTTAGAGGTCTAGAGTGTTTGCTTTGGGGGAGGGGGGATTTTTTGGTGGCAGAACATCCCTGCTTATTGCATGGAGGCAAAAAGGGGAATTGCTTTAGCATGTTTTTACACTGTTTCACTTGTTAAAATTATTTATTTAATAACAATTGCCTATTAAGTAACATTTTCAAAAGCAAAAGAAAGGAACTGGAAGAAAAATAATTGAAACCATAGCATAACTGGAATTGAACACCAAGCAAATATAAAACAATGGTGGGCCAATGGACAAAGCTATATGATACATCAGATCTTTTCTTCTTGGAAATCCCTCAAAGTCTTTACTGAGTCTTGTGTTTGGTTTTGTATATTTAGGTTTCTACTAGGCAGATCCTCTGTCCAAGTAAGTTATTCACTGTAGCGTGGAGCAGTGTGCTTCACAGCCAGAAGAGGAACAAAGAGCAGCCATGTGCTAGAGTGAGAAACAAGTAGGCAGAAGAGGATCCCTGCCAAGCATCTGCTCTCCCTCTGAATCTAGTAAATTAGAACCAAGTGTCTCTTATCTGCTCAAAAGAGCTGGGGGACCAAAAGACAAAAAAACCCACCAAGTGCTCCAAAACTGATGTTGGGTGTACTCCTTTCCCTGCCCACCCTGCAGGCCGTCAGAGACAATGTCTCTGTGCTCACTGGAAGCATGCAGAGGTGAGGGCACAGCTGACAGCAAAGCCGGAACACAACACAAGTGTGTATCATCAACACCGAGCACTGAACCCTACTTCTCTTCCGCTACAATGCGGAGAGCATGGAAGAAAATGTTATGGAAATATCCAAGGTCCTCTCCAACTCTGACTGCTCCTCAACACTTTGAATACATGGACCCAAGAATCCTGCCCCTCCAGCAGATGATTTTGGGGGTTTTGAAAAAACTCAGACCATCCATTTTTCAGTGAGGGGAATTCTACTATCATGAAGAAAAATTAAATACATTTTAATATACGGATTATTTCCCTTGTACCAGAGCTTGGTTTTCAACTATGTCCTGCTTCTATATTTAAAACTACACTTTCCTGTACTAAAAATTCATCAGATAATTCCAAACTTCCGAAAAAAAAGGAGTTAAAAGTCCTTCCAAGCCCTTCACATAGGTAGCATCCTAAAAAAAAGTGAGACTTCTATCTTACTTCTGTGTTTATGGCTTTTTCATTTTCCATACTCTCACGATATATAAAACAGCTTAAGCTTCACCTCAGACTTGACAACCACATTAACATCCTGGAAGTGAATTTTACTTGAGTTAAAATCCTTATTCAAAATGTCAAAATACACATTTCTAACATCAATTTTATTAAACAAGTACTTAGTAGGCAGAAAACACTCTTAAACTGGTCTTTTTCTTGGAGTTCACACTGTCTAAATCCCAGATAACTGAATGTTACAATAATTTCCAACTTTATAGGATTTACTTCCGAGGTTATGTTTGAAGTACCATTCACCCATGCCCTTTCCATTCCCACACTGAATTCACTAAACTTCAGATCATGAAGAGAAGAATTTACCACTTCACTAAAGTTTCTTCTTAATAGTTGTAGTCCTCAGAAAAAGTAGCCTTAAATTTTAAAAAAATTGCATCTTCTCATAATGCATGTCAGTATGGCTATCCAAGCACTGGGTTTAAACTAACAGCTGCAAATACAGCTCTTATACTGTGTTTAAAAACCTGTGAAAGTATTTGGTATACAAGAATACATTTATCATTTCTGAAAAGAGGGTATTAATATTTGAGATAGAGAGATATAGCAAGCTAGTTTTGCTCTTAATTACTGCACTGAAATTGCTGTTGGGTGGACAGGCAAGTGAGAATATAACAACATCCCTTCATGTGCAATCAAAGATTACTTTTTAAAATACGTATTTGTTCTCCTTTTCCTTATCCAACTTCAGGCGTTTCAGTCTGTCTCATAATAAAACAGGTTCACCTTTCCCAAAGCCATAATGTTTCAACTGTTTTTGCTACTTCATTTTAACCCCAACAGATGGCTCAACGCTAAGTATTGAAAGCATGATCATTGTTTTCTCTTCCACTCTTATCAAGCACGGGCATAGGATGCCTCTGGTTTGGACTTCTGCTGTTATTTGGGAACTTGCAGCTCTAAACAGTCAGCAAGGAAAAGCTGCATAAATATCTACCTGAATTAAAGCAGCAGATTATAATTTTTAAGAGTTTGTTTTTATACTTCAATTTCCCATGAGATTACAACAGAACTTCTATTAAAACCTCACAGTCCTGACTCCTTTTAATCACAGCTTTTCCATTATAGAGTCCATTCTGAGCCCAGAGTCAATAAACCAGCATTTCTTCCATTCTTAACCAGTGAGACTGCCTTTTGAAAAACATACAATACCCCACAGAAGGCAAAGGCACACAATATAAAACCAAACACAACTAAGATAAGACATCACAAGTTACAATTCAATTAAAATCCTACACGATACGTTACCTTCCGCCTCGGGCACTGAAAGGCACTACATGGATTCCCAAAGGCCCACCGTCGTTGGAGACTTCTACGAGCTTTACCATATCACTGTGAGACAATGATGAATGAGGGAATATGAACATGTACTGTGAAGGAACCAAAAACCCCACACAAACACACACAGAAAAACAAAACCATTCCAGAAATCAAGTCATGGTGATGAAGGCACTGCTGAATGCTACGTACCTGAACATTAATCTGATGGCATGAAAGGAGATCAATCATCAAAAATAGTTCAATTAATAAAACAAACAAAAATCAAAGAAATCTTTTGTAAACTTAGTTTACTACATAAAAACAGGTATCATCATCGCATGCATATTGTTTTCGTTCTTCCTTATTCTAAAGTTAACTGTTTGGACCACTTAGCAGAAATACCTTAAATACCACATACCCTTTTTCCTCAAAAAGCCTAAAAGCTGAGGATAGCACTACCATGCTTTATTTGTGTGTCTTGGGGAGATCTCACTCTAAGCCTTAGCAATAGCTCTCACATAACTACTCCCTAATCAATTGAGAACTACTGTATTTTTAATAAGTTAAACTCTTCTTCCAATAAAAGAACTGGAATTTAAAACTAGTTTGCTGTCTTCTGAATCACATTATTAGGCAAAGCTTCCAAAATAAGATTTGCAAAGCAAAGGAGGAAAGTACAGGTTCAGAAAGAGACATGCAAAGATTCTAGAAAAAGATTTGGACCAAGTCTACTGATGTGTTTGAAACATACCCACACCTGGAAAAGTGGAATATAGCCCATAAATCATAGTTAGACGTACACAAATGAGAAAGTAACACATGAAGGCCAAACCTCCCAGGAAATCTGGAAGCAGCAGATCTGACCAAAAGCCTCAATCTGCATTTATGGCTCATGCCTCTCCCTAGTGTCACATGCTTTTCCCCTATTTCCTGGCATTAAAACTATATATATATATACACACATATCTTTTGAGGAGCTTGCTTCTCCTAAGCATACAAATAAACTTTAGTCTAGAAATGGAGCAAAGACCAATACCCTATGATAGCAGCAACAGCTTTTCTACTTCCTTCTTTAAGCTCTTGATCATATGGTGGCCCATCACAAAAGCCTGCAGTGCTTAATCTAGATCTGAGAATAACCAGACCCCATACTGTTTGGAACTCAAAGATCAAACATTACAGGGCTTTTTCTAGTTATTCCAAATTAATATTTTAAAAATATCTTTTAAAGGTAGGCTTTACATTTGTTGCATGCCTCAATTTGTGTCTCTTTTTTTAAACACCACAAATGGAAGGTCTCTATCCCTGGTGCCACTGTTCAGCTCAAGAAAGTATTCAACAGCAGGAGAGCTGAGAGACATCAACCAAACAAGTATTATTCTTCACACCTAGGCAAATGTTTTAAGACTGACAGCATTACAGCATTTGGTAATGTTCCCTGTCCTACTTTAGTTTCTGTACAGGCTAGCTGCATTTCATTCCCACTGCACACCACGTTTCATTAACTGGAGTGCAAAGCAGCTCAGGGAAATTGAGCAATGTCTTTCACGCCCAAGAGGTACGCTAAAAGGCATTTTTGCTATTGGTACATCTATGGCTCCCTATGATCAACTTTCCTCCAACTTTTCTATTAGCTTAAAAGAAAACTCAGTGCTGAGGAAGAGAACAAGTGAGTATCAATGTGATTCACCTGGAACTGTCATAAATGGAAACATATCTTAAATTAAAAAGAAAAAAAAGGCAGTTTTCATACTACCCTGTTTAACATGCTCTACTGCTTGGGTCAGTAACCTTCCTTGTTTTTCAAAACACACACTTAAGATCTAGGCATCCGTTTTTCTTATACTTTTTCTTTCAATCCATCCCAAATTCCAATGTTAAACTCCACAAAAGGGAAAACAAAAGGAAATGATCCCTCCTTAAGAGAGATTGTTTCAATTCTGCTTCTCACCCTGATTTTCTCCTAAGTTTGGGACAAGAACTTCAAACAAATATACGAAGAAGTATGATATCAAATCACAAAAAATAATGAAATAGCATATGATGAAAAGCCAGTAAGTTACTTAAAAGCCACACCAAGAAGCATTAAATTTGACAGAAGTTCAGTAAATTCTATTAGCAAGCAGCATTTAGAATTTACAATATAAAAGAGTTTGTAAATGCAACAGAGTAAAACTCAGCATGTATTGCCTAACAGACATCACCTTGATCTTTATCTAACATTTAAACCCTCTGCACCTCACTCATAACTTAATTCAGAAATAATAGGACCAGAATATGTATTTTTATTTAAAATTTAAGTCTAATCAACTTAAAAGGTTTAACTTAAAGGTAGAAGTGATATCTTCTCATTAATTCCACAGTGAGGTATGGATCAGCTCTTTGCAATGACATGCAAAAGGTCAAGCTTGCTCTATCTCGTTACGAAATGTAGTATGTTTTGAGCTTCCCAGTCCTAAACAACATCAGTTTGGATCCACTCACAAAGTATGGGGGTTTTTGCCCACACAACGTACATGACCCCATGTACATCTTCCCAAAGGACTGTGAATGGGTGGTGGGTATTAGGATTTTCTTTCCTGTTCTCACCTGTTGATATATTTGTGCTAGCACTGACCCTATTCCTTCTATCAGCTTTTCAGAGTTCCACCAAATAAGTGTTGTCTTTGATGCAGAAAATCTACTGTAACATCAGCACTTAGAAATGTCAAGTTTCCAATGCTCATCTTTAACACAGCTTTTTAAACTGTTTAAAATCTGCTTTAAAAAGGTCCATGAAGCAAATTGCTTAAAACCAGAACAACACATGACCTAAAAAAGACTGCCCCACTTTCTTAAGAGCAGTATAACTCATATTATTCTGAGATTTTCCTGGTCTGTGTTCAGTCTCAAGACTCATCATTAAAACAATGTGTTCTGCCAGTAACTTACTCCAGGGAAAAATTGGTAGTGCTCTCCAAACTAGTGTCTGCATGTCCAACAGGCTCAACTCTGCTGTTTTCCTCCTCTGTTCGGTCTTCGTCCTAGATGTTAGAATAAAAGGAAAAAAAATCATTTAAACCTAGGTTTAATAGGTTAATTCATTTCAATAATGCCATTTTTGAGATTTTTGGGGTAATCATATATGCAGTGGAAATGTATGCATCCACAACTACAAAAACTTTTTCTGTTGCTGTAAGAAACTGTTGTACATTGATTTTTGTCACTTTATATAATTATGTAAGTTTTTGTAATTATATTTATAGTTTAGTCAGTTACTACTATTACATTTTACTACAGTTGTAGAAGCAACACTACAGAAGCTATCAGAGCCAGCATTTTTGTAAAAGGTACCCAAGTAAAAGCACAAAATCAGGTGACAGGCAGCAGTGTATGGGGAAGCTCCTTCCAAGTTCTCTCTGGGTATGTTACTGGGGACTTGAATGAATATACAAGGGAGCTCACTCAGACTCATTTGCAAAGAGTTAAAATCAGAAAGAAAATGCAGCTTATATAATTCCATAAAGTACCAATACCTCCTTAAACATTTTCTCACCGGCCTTTATTAACAGCATGCCAGAAAAGGCTGACAAAGAGTTACATGAGGCTCTAATGCTAACCAACTGATTTTATTTTTACTTTTCAAAAAATACCTACATTATTCACCACATGTATAATTCTAATATCAAAGTTGTGAACGCTACTTTCAAATTTAGATCAAGGTAGTTCAAGGACTACCTGTAGTAAGATCTAAAACCATTATCATAGCTATTTTACTCATTAGAAGCTTATGCTTTTAATTACCTGTATGACCAAACAGAAAATATTACGAAGTGTGAACAGTGGGTTTCAAACACAGACATAGATTCTAGAGCCAAAGCCATCAAGTCAGTAGGTGATAAGTTATGAGTTCAGGACACAGAGTCAAACAATATATTAAATTATTGAGAGAGAGAAATGCAGGCAGAGGCAGTTGGTAATGTCCAATTGACATTTCCACTGAGAATCTGCAAAAGCAGGAGGCTGGATGCATCAAGCTTCCATGGGCTGTAGATATGCCTTGTTCATCCTGGCTGGCAGCAGCTGTGTGAAGCCAAGCTACTTGAAGATTGATGATCCTGTGTTTTGAGAGGCTTTAATATGCACTTCTTCGTCATCTATCTCTGTTAAGCACTAGGCAAGTAATACATTCCAAAGGCTAACCAGCATCTTGAACCTGTCTAGAACTGCATTATGAATGTAAACAAGAACCCAAAATAAAATATTTTCTATATATTAAAAGTCACTTATAAACCAAATATAAAGGATAATCCATACAATTTTTAAATACGATATAAGCTACTGTTTATATTTCTATAGTTACTGTTGTTTCAGCTGAAGTTCTCTGTGTACCACTGCAGGAAGGTTAAAAATACATACTGAAATCTCCATGAAAATCCTGAAGTTACATCCAAAAAGGTATATAGAAGAGAATCAGAACCCTTGAAGGTGTTTAACAATAAAAAGAAGCATTCCACCTTGTTTCATACAGCATCTTGCAGATCACTGTTGCCATAGGTTTCTTGTTTTGAAGTTAGGGACACTGGTAATTGTAGTTTTGATTGAAAATTAAGACCCCACCTGGAGTGCTGCGTCCAGCTGTGGAACCCACAATATCAGAAGGATATTGACCACTTGGAGCGAGTCCAGAGGAGGCCATGAAGATGATCAGAGGGCTGGAGCACCTCTCCTATGATGAAAGGCTGCAAGAATTGGGCTTGTTCAGCCTGGAGAAGAGGAGGCCCCGGGGAGACCTCATTGCAGCTTTCCAGTATCTGAAGGGGCCTACAAGGGTGCTGGGAGAGGACTTTTTACAAGAGTCTGTAGTGACAGGACAAGGGGTAACGGGTACAAATTGAAAACAGGGAGGTTTAGATTAGATATCAGGAAGAAATTCTTCCTGGAGAGGGTGGTGAGGCACTGGAACAGGTTGCCCAGAGAAGCTGTGGATGCCCCATCCCTGGAAGTGTTCAAGGCCAGGCTGGATGTGGCTTTGAGCAACCTGGTCTAGTGGAAGGGGTCCCTGCCCATGGCAGGGGGGGTGGAACTAGATGATCTTTAAGGTCCCTTCCAACCCAAACCATTCTATGATTCTATGTAAATATTTATATTTCACTGAAGTTATTACCTGCAAGTCTAAAATCAGATGATGAAATGCAATTTTGAATCTCAGCTATGTTAAAAGTTCATCCCAAATGAATGTGACTTTGTTAACACAATGTTTTTAGCAATTTTCCATGAGTGGTCTTTTCAGGCAAACCTACTGTAAGTGTATACACATTTAAGAAAAGACTGAAATAACATCCTACCTATTAGAAGATTTGCCTCTGCTAAAATAAGAAAGTGTGGCATTAAGCTGTGTGGTTTTAGCAGATGTCTATATAGGTACAGTGTAAGCATCATTCATCTAGAACCACTTGGGTCCTACACTTCACCATCTCTCAGCCCCACAGGTTTTTCCCTTGACTAGTTTAAAGGCTGTCAGCAAAACTCTCCCTGCCCCACTCAGAGTTTGCAGCAGGGAAGGAGCATCATCCCCCTCGCCTCACCCCAAGCACAGCCAGGACAAAGGCAACCGGCAACTTGTCTGCCTCCTGCCTAGCCATACCTATTAATACTAGGATATAACACATCAGAAACTGCAACCCAAAAGCTATGTAAAACAGATGCTATCTGGCACCATCACATCTACTTTTTGTGGCTTTTGTATCGAGAATTATAAACACAGCAAGTTTTGGAACCAGACTCGCTGTCAGTTATCCAAGCAATTAAGAAACAGCAGCTCCCACACGCCTCTGTCTGGCTTTGCCTGGACAGCAGACAGATCTGTATCAAAAACATGCATGTGCCTGTAAATAGGTACTCAGAGGAGGAATCACAGCCCTAACAAAAGCACTACTGCCGTAATCAACAGATGTATGAGGTATCCTTTTAAAAATCTTTAATATTACAGTAATCAGGCGCTCTCTTCTCCTCAAAATAACACAGATTTTGATTTACATTGAAGTGAACGGAGAGAAAAATTGGACACCTGCAGAGGGATCTGACTTAAAATTCTGATTTACTAAGAAAAGTAACTAGCTGTGAAAATCTCTGCATCAAGCAATTATTTCTTTATTTGGAAAGTAGTTTCCTTCTGAAAGGCAAATTCCACCTGGATGTGCTATCATGAGATAAACCAAGGAAAAGGACATCTAGAAGACCAAGAAAGTTTCTGAGAAGACAAACAGATTTATTGCAGACGGTTCTCAGAAATGACTGATTTGAGTAAACTCCCAAACTTGTAAGGTTTCTTTCTCTCTATAAAAGCACTGATCCCTGCTATATCAAAAGATAGAGCTTTTAACACGCAAACACTACAGAACGTTGCTTTCTTTTTCAAAATTATAATGAAGTAATTAGAAGACCAGTTACTTTTTACATCACAGAGGAAAGTTTAAAGCACTTCATCCACTTCTACATAGCCTTTCAGTATAAAATTCCTGCAATTCCCTTTTGCTGAGATGACTCAGCCAGGGCTTCTCACCCGAGCCTCGCTGTGCCACCAGACATGCATGTCTGGTCCATAAAGCACATACGACGTCTCTCATGTATTTAGGCTAGTTACACAAAGATGAAACAATACAAAGGCACAAAAAAAAAAAAAAAAGAAAAAAAAAAACACAAAAAACAACAACTACCAAAAACCCACAACTCTTTCATTATTGTACTAAATTCTGTAACAAAATAACAACTCAGAAAATTTTTTAACAGCTCAAAACGGGCTATTACTGCTAGCAGTTCTGCATATAGAAAGGTCCATTTCACAGTTCACCTGCACAGCATTAATAACATACGTATGAGAAGTTGCCAGTTTGTTTTGTATTTTTGAAGAAAATTTCCCTGTCACCTCTTAGGATTACAAAATCCTTAGTTAAGACATGTCACCATTACGCTTGCCAACAGAACCTTATTCAATACATAATGAATCCAAACACACCCTTCAATTATATTTTCTCATATTTTTTCTGCAGGAAGACTGACTTGTTTCATTTCCAAATTTCCAAAGCTCAAAACTGGCCTTGCCTTTCCTGTCTTACTGGACATTTTATCTTTCAATAACAAAACATCAGCTCCTGCCTCTGATTAATCCACAATTAGTACTAGTCACTACTTCATCTTCAAAGAAGCACTTTCCCACTCATCTGTACTGTTCAATATACTTGTAATGAACTTCCAAAAACATAAGCAGAACTTTTTCACATTCCCTCATCTTCTTTAGACAATTACTTGCAGAAAACTCAAAAGCAGCCAGGGAGTCTGAATAAATTTAGTGCAATCCCTTAAATTCCTACACGTTTCATTTGTGCAGTTTTCATTTCTAGATGCCTGGTCCCAGTAAGTGCTGGTTACAATCTACTTCAGTCCAACACAATGGGAAATGGTCTCTGAAGGCACATAAGAGTTCTGTATAAATCCATCTTCTCAGAAGACTTAATCTTAAATTCAATAGCAACATCTCCGTTCTACCAACAACTAAAAAAACTAAGAGTAAAGGTGTTTGGGTTTGGGGTATTCTTCCATTCAGAGGGATATAATAATTATTTCATTTTTGTCCAAAAAGTGATTGAGTATTTTGGTGACAATGGTTGTATGAAAAGGAGTATCTGTGCTTTCAAATGACTTGAACACTCCACAGCAAGGTCAGCAACTCTGACCAACCCAAAAGAAAAAAAAAACGACTAGTCACTTATGTAAACTATCTTGTACACTGAATAAATCAAAATTAACATTAAAGAAAGGGAAGCTGTCAGTAAAGATTATCATAATACGCGTGTGCATGGATCTGTGCTAAGGTTTCATCACTAACCTCCCTTCCGCACCTTTTCCATGGACACTTCTGAAACCTGCAGTGCCGTGTCCATTCCTCTTGTGTCTCTACCTGCACCTCAAACTCCAACTACAGGCTCCATCCCTCAAACCTGTGCCTTCCTGCCCTGACTTTGCTGTTAATGTACACTCAGTT